AATCGTACCCGCTTTGACGTCGTTTCGGGTAGGATTAGAACTAATTCTACCTGACATGACGTAAAAGCGGGTAGGATTAGAAAAATGAATATAATGAGGTGTATTAGTTATTAATTGCTCTGCGAGAACAAAGGGAATACCCGCAATCATGATATTATTAAATTAAGTAACCGATTTGAATTGATTACCTCAGATCCACTTACTTCAGTGATCAGTATTTTATTGTTTAAAACAACCAAAAATTGGCAGTATTTTAAATTAACCAATTTTTGGTTAACCAATTCAAATGGTTATTTTAACTACTCCGTTTTTGCCGTGTATTATGAAAGTATTTCCAGCTTAATCAGACGCTATTATCTATTCTTGGCGAAAAAGCTCGTCAATTCGTTCAGTCGTTCCTATTTATTTTAATATGATTTTCTATATGACTAATTAACCATAATAAGTGTTTTCTATAATTTATTTATTAACCTGTATTCAGATTTCACTTCAACTAAAATGTGTAAATTATTTTTAACCGTATACAAGCAAATTTAAAGAATTTATTGAAAATACTATATATTGATATAAGATTTTTTCTAAATTTTCTCATAACCAATTGCCCTGAACAGACAGATTGCAAAAACCATTCCAAGAATCTAAAACAGAAATGGAGGTACCTCGATGGAATTATTATCATCTAAAAGGCCTAGTCGCAACCCTCCGCTTGGGAGACTCGGCGAGATATTACCCGAAGTGATATGGATGATATTTCCCGAGGAACTTTGCTCCGAGGATATTATACAAACATATCATATTACATAGTACATAATACATAACATAATACATAATCTTGAACTGTCTGTGCCAGTGTAGGTATCATGGGCGTACCGGAAGGAAAAAATTAGGGGGCGGAAAGAAAATTGCCCGACTTTTCGTAAAATTGCCCGACTTTTCGTGATTGTGCCCGACTAGTACCCAAAATTTTTTTCCGGAAAATTTATTTTGGCGACCTCCCCCCCCCTCCCCCCGTCGCCAAAAAAATTTCGGTCAGTGTACCATTTAAGGGGTGAAAAAAATTTTCCGGACATACCAAAATTTTTCTGAGCATCACATAAATTTACTAAATTTTCGACATTTGCCACAAAATTTACTAAATTTTCGAAAAAATTGACAGAATTTGTCCGATTTTTTTTTATAACAACCCAAAATTGCCCGACGCCCAAAAAACTGGGGGGGCTACCGCCACACCGCCCGGTACGCCTATGGTAGGTATAATGCCAAAAATATAACAAACTTTCGTTGGTAGGGTTGCAACTACCTGAAACAATCAGGAGAATTTCGACGTTTCGAGCGAAGGGCCTTCGCTGGAAATGTCTAAATTCTCCTTACATTTTTCAGGTAGTTGATCCTTACCAACGAAAACTTGTTAACATAATGCATCCGTATATGAGTTATTCTGCAATCTGATTGGCTGAATTACTCGCCGTATATTATATCTTATTGGATTCTTCTGAGCAAAATAATAAACATAATTATGGCAAAATATTAAGTCGAGACTGCGATATTAATTGGGCGAGATCGAAACTCTAATATTTAAGTCAAGTCTCTAGAATAAGTGCTTTATTTTGTCGAACAACAATTATATTACTAAAATTAGTTGTCTATAACTTACTATATAAGCGATAATAATACAGCGAGAATAATACAGCGATATTAAACTGACATTTAATATCACACATCGACGGCGAATTTGCTTAATTTAGAAGAATTAGCTCAGAAGTTCACCTGAATGATTGCAATACCAACACCAATCCCTCCAATAACAACAAGATGTTCCTTCGCCCAATCTTTCATTCCTTCAATACATCCCTATAATAGAAAGAGACATGGAAAATAGGAGTGAGAAATTAATCGGTGTACGTGGTGTCAAGAGAAAGTTGAATTCGCTTAAAATTTCATATAAGTGCAAATAACCTTAACAAATACACATTAAATCATACACAAAACTGAATGCTGTCCTTTTATAAATTTAGTTATTTCATAAGTAGGATGTAAAGCGAATTCAACTTTTACGTGCGTGTACGCACGTATGAAAAACGCGTAACTGGAATGCAGCCTTTAGTTAAAATAGAGAGATTTGACAAAGTTTGTTAGAAATTGTTGCATGTTGAAGATTCAGTTATACCAGGGGTTTTGTTGAAGGAAATGCTCTTGGGTCAGTCTGCAAAACCTTTCACCAATTATATTTCTATTAAGTATAGATGCCCAAAATCCTGTTATTAGAAATATATCTAATTAGTGAACAATTTAATAAGCCCTACAGCCGGCCTGATTCATAATTTGGCAAGGACTGATCACTCTTTCATCATTTCTATCCTCCCTCGCCAATCGCGTACCCAGGATTCTCTTTGTGCTTGTCAGCTTGCGGCCAGCACAAAGAGAACCCTGGGTAGGAGGTGGCCTCGCTGCACGGTTTCCTACTCGAAAATGATGCTCAAGGTCTGGTCGCATAGAACGTGAAAGGCTAATTGATTTCAAATCGGCTTTAATAATATTTATATTTCTTACGCAGTAAATCTTCTTACGTCCGTGCAAAAGACATATTAGTTTAGACGTTACCTCTTGATAAATATTTTCAGGCTTTAAAGGGGTACTGGTACAGTTTGCGATGCCTTCGTTCTTACAACAAGAGGAAGGAACTTCCTCATTTTTTGTCGTGTGATTTGCCCAGTAAGAATGTTTCCAGTCTTTGTAACTTGTCGCTCCACAACACTTGATCTAGGGACGATAAAGGCGTATCCAAAAATAATGAACTGCAATCATATTAAAAATCGAATGGCTGTTTTCCGAGGCCTATAATTACCTTCTCCTGAGCAAAGTTGATTGCCTTTGTGACCTTTGAATGATCAGGATTTCCATATTCATTAAAAACAGTTGTATTGATTGCTTTACTCACTTCTTTTTCCATCTTAAAATAATAAACGAATACTTTATTTCGTTCAATGAAACACGTTTTTCTCCAATACACTCTTCCGTCACTTTCGATGTTGAGCCTCGTTTTTGTGATCTGGACATCAGTTAAAGTGCACCTAACCTCAGTTCTTCTAACATCTCATTCCTAAAAGCCTTTGAAATGATATTGCAACTTATTTCGAAGATTTTCGTTTGTACCCTTTGTCTCTAAGTTATTTCAGTTTTATTGATATGCAAATGTCCGGAATTTACGTCACATATGAATAATGACTGACCAAAACGTGAAAGGTAGCCTACAGTTAAATGTCATGAAATAAAAAAGCAAAATGGTGTTTTACGTATAATATGTGATCCTCGCACAAATCCAAACTTCATTTTAATTAATTAAACTCGATAGTGAATACGACATACAAGCTTTTACTTTAAGTCATTAATTTTATTTTGTGACGTAAATTTCGCATATTTACATACCAAACAAACTGAAATATCTCAGAAACAAAGTGCATGAACAGACGAAAATCTTCAAAACAAGTTATTATATCACTTCAGAACTTCTTAAGAATGAAATGATAAAAATAATTGAGGTTAGGTGCACTTTAATTTAAAGCCAACGTCTCAATCACGTAAACGAGGCCCTTACCCAAGATGACTTCCTTTCTGGAAGCATGTATTGTAATAACCAGCTAGGGACGGTTTTAAGGCCGTTTTCCACAAGGCAAAATTTTCCGCGCGGAGGGGAATTTCTCTTTTCTTGTGATTTCTTGGGTGGAACTAATTAGGAAAGACAAAGAGAAATTCTGCTCCGTGCGGAAAATTCCGCCTACCAGTGAAAAGCAGGCATTACGGAGGCTGGATACTGCTCTATCCACTGGATAGTGACTTTCTAAAAATTGAGATCTTAGAACTGATTTTCCCAAAATTAAACAATTGTAATTGAAAATGTTTGAAGACCTATAAATTAAAATTACGAATAGGGACCTTTCAATTAACACAAAATGTTGTATAAGTAGCAACGTTTTAAATTCTGATTTAAATCAGTCTACGTTTGGATTCGAAAGAATCATTGTCGTTGAGTAGAAATTTGTGGTCTGTGGATAATCGGCTTCTGTATACAAGATTTGAAACTGCACTAGTACATGGATACAACAGTAATATCTACATATTATGTATACACTTTTTTGATAATATTTCCTTGGTCTGAAAGTCTCGCTCTCATAATCAAGACGAAAGGTTATTGGCTAACGGTTCATGAGAATGAGGCTCCCAGGCCAATGTAATGATCGAAAGGGTGTATTATGATATTACAAAATAGGAAAATAAAAATATAATTGTGTGTTAAAAACGAGGTATCAGGGGCGTAGGCCACGGAGGTGAATTGGGGAGGGGGTCCTGGACCTACTCCGCTACTTTTCTTCAGAACCAATGTTGTAATTCTTCCAAAACCGAGGAAGAACTGGATGGTGGGGGGGCAACCTTGAACTGCTACCATTTATGACAAATATACCAAATCTGGTAAAATATACCAAATCTGTGGTTCCCAGATTATCATAAAACGTACCTAGAATAGAAACATCTATTTCGGGCGACCGAACCCCATATTGTTCTGTATATTTACGAATGGAATCCCCCCCCCTCCCCTCCACACACACGCATTCGTTTGCGACTGAGTACGCCCCTGTGAGGTATTATATATGTGTTTAGATGTTTTATTAAAACTATAGTAGTTCCGCCACAAATCAGCTGTAATAATATTTTGTGATTAGTTGATTTTAAATTTGAAACACAATTAATGTAAACTTTTATGTTTTCTAACTATAGTTTGGGGACCACAATTACTGGAGTTTATTTTTAAGAAAAATGCCAGTCAATAAAAAAATGTTCATTTAAGTGCACACTTAATGACTGTATAATAATAAATAACTGAGTGTGCAACGAATTTTTATGGCAAATGTGTACAGATGAAATATTGAATGTTTCATACCTTGTCACGATTCCTGTAAGCCATGATTCCAGCAGCAATTTCAAGAATGAAAATTAGAAAGACAAGTACGGAATACTAAAATAAAAACAATTCATTACATGTGTTGTGAACCCTACTAATCAAGCAGCTGCCCTCTCATCCCTCTTCAGTCAGTGCATATTTTAAATGTTTACAGTGAGGGGGGGGGGGGGCAAGATTAGGGCCCAATGTGGGCTCCCCATGCAGAGTAAGATTTAGGTTATTTAGGGTAAGTTTAAGACCCAGTCTGAGTTAGGGGGACTGCGGCACCAAATGACCCCCAAGTATATATGTTACAGTATGCCTCGCTTCTTCGAAAATGCTATGAAATGAGATGCCCCTTTAGCCATTTTATTAGCCATTTTATTTAGCCTTATTAGCCATTTTATTCAATACTTCATAAAATCAAACTTTGGCGAGTGAAGTCAGAAGTGACTCACAAGTTTGAGTAAACCAAAAATTCGAGTCACTCTGTGTGGATCTGCTTAATTAACTCAAAATTTGAGTACATATTACAAACAATTAGGGTGAAAAGTTGATTTGCTCAAAGCTTTGAAGAATCTTTATTTGCATGTTTTCCTTACCAATAATAGACACCACTTATTTTCCTTCATGGCTCCACAGCAACCAACAAAACCAATAATAAGCACCAGTACTCCAGCTGCGATTAAAATATTCGCAGCTTTGTCAACATCAGAATCGCCAAGTAATACCTCGTAATCGCTGGCTGCCACTCGACTCCAGATACCCACACCTAACACGGAGATACCAGCGATCTATATTTGGGCGAAAAGGAAAGGCGGTGAATGATATATAAAGGTAGAGTAGCATCCGACATTAAGGAAGACACACGCGCCATCAGTGTCCTCCTTCCTAATTTCCGGTTCTCACACCAGAATGGAGAATTTTAAATGCCAAATTACACTTACAGTAATTAACTAAATTTATTAAACAACCAACATGCAGAGCAAACGTCGAGATACCACTAGGTTAGATCTGTCATGAGGGAGGAGATCAGCGCCCTTCCTCGGTTTCTATGTATGCTAGTAAAATTATATGGAATGTTGGTACACGCCAAGATACTTGAAATCTAGGGCTAATATCACATTATTAAAATATACAGAACCTCGGTAAGGATTGGGGGAACACGCTAACTGCACTTCTTCTCTCTCCGACCACCCCACGTTTCTGGTTTCCACCGCCAGGTTTCTAGTATAATATATCTAGTTTTGTTCCAGTTGCGATCGATGAGTTAGTAACACGATCACAAATGCCCAAACCATACACTTAAATTCTACAAGGGAAGTACTGAAAAAGTGAAGGTTTCACAATATTGAGAATCCGTTCGAGGGACACACTGTATCTTCGCCGAATGAAGGGACAGAACAAGGCCCTCTCTTCCTATGTAAAGCCTTATAGAAAATCACACCAAACACAGAGACACGTGAAATCTGAAAGAAGATTGTTAATAGCATATTGAAGATACTAGGAGCTACACCCGCCCCTCTGTTTCTAATCCATAAAAAGGGCATTAAATTTCGCGAAATGTTTTCGAATAACATTCTTTTATTAAAATACAACAACTTTCGAACTACAACTTACGAAACAAGTCAACATAAGGTATATACCGTTTGTATATGGTACAGTGTGCAGTGTTTTTACTCATCTTTAATCAGTCTTTTATTGTTGGTGACACGATATGCCGCAAAATGCAAACTGTGGCATAATACTATATAATTATAATTATATAACTATATTATTAAATAATTGAGTATAGGGTATTTAATTTTGCGTGCGCGAATTTTGCGAGTTTTTTTATATGCGCGACTTTAATTTCGCAATATTTTACAATCGCGAAAATCGTGAAATTAAGTAGGAATAAGGTAATCACACACGTTGAGCAAACTTGCGCTTGTAAAACTATACTGATACGTACTATTTAATACACAAGAAGGAATGTTTTATCAGATATAAAACGCGAGGCGTTTTATCAGATATAAAGTCACTACACGTGACATATTATAGCTGACATGATTTGCCACAAGGTTCACGAATTTCTAATGAGTATTTTAAAGAGGCTGTCAAGTCCATTCTGCTCATGCGCGTGTTTTGTTTACATTTTTTGTTTCAAACAATAGATAATTTAATTAAAATATTGTTTGAAACAAAATATCTAAACAAAACACGCGCATGAGCAGAACGGACTTGACAGCCTCTTTAAAGCTATAAGAACTCTGCAAAATAATGGTTTTGTACTTGTTGAATGCTGCACATGCAGTTCATAATTTTAATTAAACATGCTTACATGCACATGATAATATAGTTATGGTACAAAGATATACAATAATAACGTATCCAATATTGCAAGCGGCATTTCTGTAGCGTAATCGTCAAAGCAAGCGTCGGCTACAACATAGATATAGGAGATCTAGATTACTATAACGCATACCTAGCGCAGGCGGGGCCTACATGATAAATCCAAGATGGCTGTACAACAGGGCAAAAAGACTATAGATTCTATTACGAAAATCAGGATTTTTGCATTTTTTGCCGTCCCATTGTTTCGAAACTTATTCGGTCAAATTTTATGGTAAAGAGAAACTTACCGCGAAGATTTTGAGCATATATGTGATTGAATTGGATAAAAAATCGCAAAATTATCCAGCGATAAGTTCGTGTGAAATGGTCAGTTGGTCAGTTGGAGCGTTTTATTGCCAGAAATACTGTGCTATGTTAACATCTAGCCTTGTGAATGGTGTTTTATACTTGCATCTCTCATCATCATCTGCTCTGTCCTCATAATTATGAAAAATGAACTGTTAGCCCCTAATTAACTGACCTTCCACTGAAGGCGTTCTCTCGAATCAGAGGCGGCTTTATACAGTATAATTATAGAGAGACTTCGACGTCAGGTAGGTACCCTCGATCTTAGCGGAAAACCTTGACTGCCAGAGCTTAGCCTTAAGAGGTACAGGCGCCGCGGAACCGGGGGCAAATAGAGGCATGTGCCCCCCATTTTTTTTAAAAGTGATAAAAGTACCCTTTTTTCTGGGCTAAAGTGCCTCATTTAAAGAAAAAAAAAGTATTTCTGAAATGAATGCCCTCTTTCGCTAGAAAGAAAATGCCTATTTTGCAGTCAGTAAAGACTCTGTAAAGGTCATTTCCAACGTTATAAAGACTCCATATTTTCAAAAATTTTCGTTCGGCTCGTGAACGACATAAAATCGTTTGATTTCAGTAGTCATATACAAAAGTGCCCCTTTTGGCCAATGCCCCTCCACTTTCAAAATGCTTCTGCGGCCTCTGCATAGGTAGCTTTAGAAATTAATAAGCCTTCGACTCAATAAAGTAGAGCTACGCAGTTCAGCTCAGATCTCTGCTGCTAATAATGATAATTACCACACACCCACTTACTTAACCCCTTACTTACTTGTTTATATGACGCGGGCTAAAGAGGATATTATATAGTTCGTTTTGCCAATCCTTTAGGCTTATATACATTTTCTCCGTGCTAATCCAGTTGGGATCCCATGCACATTTGTTTCACATGTTTATCCAACCACGCTGTTTCATGCAGTCAAAGGGCTTTGTTCGAAACATGGACGTTCTTACTATCTTCTTCGAGTACTTGTGCCACATACTCATGTCATCTGTCATGTCAACCGATGATATATATCTTGGATTACAATTAATTAAAAAGATTCTATATTTAACTTCGTTTCCTAGAATCATATATATAAAGTATAAGCCGAGCGGACCGGTCAGTCGAAAGATTTAAAATTTAAATATACTAAAGATAGAATGTTGAAAGGTTTTGAAAGTAGACTAGAGATATAGAAATTTCGAGAGAAAACTACACATAGTCTTTAGACCTTTATTTTTACCTCATTCAGTGGTCAAAGGCCGCAGATTCGATTCCTACCAGAGGGCAGTATATTCGCTATAGCGTTTCTTATATCAATACGTGTCCACAAAGGCGCTTGAAGATTCTATTCTGAACTGCCTGAGCTCAACTGGACACTGCATGCATGCACATGAAAGTAGACATATTAAATTAATAAGTTAGGTCGACCGAACCTTATATAGTCTTTGATCTCCATTCATATGCAGTAAAACACTAAAACTACTTCAAGGCTGATGGTATATAGGAAAGGATATGGTGATTTTACATCAAAATAATATTATAATAATATTGATATGATGAGCATTAACTTAGAATATATCTGTGTATATTATTTAAAGTTATTTTTCATGCATGGCTTTTAGCCTGAGTCTGAGACCATGAGAAATCACTTTTTGGTTGAAAATGAATCATCGTGGCGGTGCCTTGATACAACGCACTCCGGAAGTTTTAAGCTAGAGAAATCATGATGGAACATTCGCTCAGCTCTAAACGTGGAATAGCTATTTTTTATGTGGTCTTTCCTCTTGCCGACTATAAACTCCATGTGTATTGAGTGTATGAGAGATATTTGTTTCATGCAGAACAACGTCTATTTTGGAGTATTATATAGAACGCATACCCAAAACTAAGTATTAGTGCGTCATTCACACATCAAGTACACTTGTCATGCATTTTTGAATAAATTATCGTTATCTATATGCTTTGATATAAATACTACTACTTATTTTAATGTTAAAATGACACAGAAAAAGTCCTTCATTATATAAAGTAGGGAAAACATCGGATAAAAAATTATGTCAACAACTTAAATTTGTGCAGTCGTTTTAATAAAACCACATTCATACATGCAGTTATCATCATGAATAAATTATTCTAATCATCTATTTGATTATTACACGAGATTTATTTTTGATTAATACAAAAATAATACGGGTGGAATTTTCTTCGTTTTCAAATAGAGAAAACATTTGCAAAGCTTAACAACTTTAAGAGTGTATACATATGCATATAACATAAATTAAGAAATCAAATCTTTTTAATTTGATGATTCCCAGTCTCCTCCTTAATTAATATCGAAACTAAGCAACCAAAGAAGACAAAGAATAATAAATAATCCCTGGTGTAGTGCTGGCGCAATGTTTGCCGTATTTTCCCTGCAAGCAAAACATTACTAAAACATGACCTGTTCTGACAGAACTTGAATAACACAAAGTATGGTTGATAAAGGCTGGTTTACACTATCAATTTAAAGTTTCTGAAATTCTACGTTTTGAAGGATTTGTAAGAAATGTTTGAACGAAATGACTAAATTTTAAACACTGAGTCAGCCCCGTCAAACATTTCTTACAAATCTCTAAAAACGTAGAATTCACCAATACAAAATTCCTATACTGTGATCACAGAAACTTTGATAGTGTAAAAAAATATACCAGCCGGAAATGTGAAGGATGGAAAATTGGACAGATTGGAGACACAACGATATTAATATATACGCATGCATAATATATTTACCGTCGGGGTAAAGTTTTTGATCTGGGAACAGTGTATAGGCAAACATATTTCGGGCTTGTCCCAAAAAGGAAGAACTGAGGCTCATTTCTTGGACTGTATGTTCGCCCAAGATCAGCAAGGTTCGCAACGATATGCAAGTACGTCCGTTCCACTTGCATGGTCGTAAGTTGTGCTTAAATTTGCCCTATAGCTCGAAAGAAAAAATCGAGCAAATTTAGGTAAGGTTTCAAACTCATCTTCTCTCGTGTGAATGGAGCTGATAGACTACTTACTTTTAGTTTGAACAGGATAGCTTGTGCATGGCTTAAGCTATGCATGTACTCACTTCATTTCTTGGATATCTGTTCAGATATGAGAATTTTCCGAATAAATTTGATGAGAAATTTTAACATAAACTTATAGATTCAATCCGAAATTACGGCTCATTTCCCAGGAATATTGTATTCTGTAACAAAAATCTGACCCTGGCATTACTTCATGATGGACACGTTAGAAGCAGGGGCAGCTGGAAATGCTTTCGTTGCTCTAAATTTAAAGACGTCAGCGTATTCTACCGATTTTGGCGCGCGCCTGCTATGTTGGTACGCCAAATGCACTAAGGGCACGGCTGTATTCGTAACTAACGAGATATATTGGCATTGTAAAATCGTGTAGGCCCTAAGCTGTGTGACAAAAGTAATGTAACTCACCCAGAAAACTAAATTAAACGCCAGTAACAGGTATTTCATACAAGTCATACCACAGCTTAAACCTCCCATCTTTTCTGTCTTTTTAATCCTATAAGAAAAACATACTACTAATACGAAATTCATAGACAGAGATCAGTCTGGGAAAAATGACTGGCTTGCCATGTTGGCGCATCCCAAAAACATCTCACAAAATCTATTTTACAATAATTATAAAAGATAACGATCAAAACGGCTATAACATTCCAAGTTTACCTGTAATTTTTGGCTTGAAAAGAGCAAGTGAATCCCGCGGTTTAAGTTCGGTAAAAATGATGTGCAAGCTGCCAGCAATTAATGAAAATGTTAGATTCACAAATTTAGAAATGTAAATTTCTTCCTTATTTATCTCATTCTGACCAATCATGATACCGTATTCTAGGCTAGTGTATAAATAATTATATTGTATAACGCTGGGAGGTTTTAAGCGTTGTAAACTGTGCATAAGAAATGACTAAAGGCAGGGAAAGTATAAATTAATCTGAGTCTGGGTGTTTATTGAACAATACGATATAATAGAGTATTTATTGCAAAGAAGTTTTACAAAATCAGTTTGGTTGCTAGGCATGTTATCGAAAGCTGTATATATTGTTGTGAAACTGGCAGTTCCACAACACCTGCCTCCTTCAATTTAGCTCATGATATATTTTAATTTATTCAAAACGATAGGAAAAATAAACATGCACCTTGGTTATCAATCAGAATTTGAATATTTTTGAAAGAATTGAAATAGTGACTTCTTTGTGATGAACAAAGCTTGATTTCCGCTTGCAAGAAAAATTTCGCTGCCAAAATTTGTCTCTCAATTTCTTTTGAATTATGAGGCCGTCAAGTAGAACTCATTCATTCGGTTGGTCACAATTCAAAAAAGAAAGAAATCAAGCGAAATATTTCTCTGTAAGTGGAAATCTACTTTTTGGCTCATTCATGCATTGATCGCAAAAACCAACGCACAAGTTTCCATCGGCCAATCTCAGTGCTCTAGAGATTTTATTTTGATCACTGAGATTCAAGTGGCTAATCTGTGACAAATATGTAGCTAACTATAGAACGCATTGCATGCATATAGACCACGAAATTTTTGGGAGGCATCTCGTTCAATAGAATAGAGACATATAGAATAATAGTATAGTATAGATCAGTTTCTATAGGTGGAATATTGAAACGCGAATTTATAATATTTACATCTTTACAGACCTGACCAGACAGTGGCAGAAATCTCGGTGGGGCGATGAGGCTGCCGCCCCCCCCCCCCCACCTTCGTGGAAAATGACAAATTTTCGGAAATTTTGACCTATGGGCTAAAAACAGCCTTTTCGAGTGCAAATGGGGGGGGGGTTGTCGGAAATTTGAAAGTTTTGTCGGAAATTTAGAAGGCTTCGCCCCCCACCGGAAAAAGTGAATTTCTGCCACTGTGACCAGAAGCAGTTGCCAAGGATGCAACTGTGATATAGACCCCCTAGCAGGAATCGAACCTGCGGTCCTGCGATTTAGGTGCAGTGCAACCAACTGGGCAACTACAGAAACGGGGCTAGGTAAAAAATTTAACCTGCTGTTTTATTCCATGTATTTCTATACTTCTGTTTATTTCAAAACTTCAGAGAAGAAAACTCCTACCGACCTATGCAGCAATTTTTCTGAAGATTCTGAAAATTGATGGTTGCTACTCTTTTGGGGCACCATGTCACTATTTACTAATTTTTTACGAGTATTTTTTTAATATAATGGCTAAAATTTATAACTATGTATTTATCAGTGCTATTTAAAAGTATTTCGGGCATTGTAGAAATACGTGTTGAATATTTTTTGGGTGAATATTTAAACCGGGTGGCTCCAAAAAAGTACTCCTCTTTGATTCAGTATAACTTAAAAATTAACTGAGACATTTATTTCAGTAATGTCTAACTTAAATTTTGATATATGCCATGTGTATTTTAACATAGTTTTGGCCGAGATAGTTGGGCTTGAAAATAAGTAAACATTTTCAAAATTGTCAAAAAAAATTAGCAAAAACTAATTTTGACAACAAGTAACGCAACTATTCGATATCTTCGTGGGCAATTTCCTGGCCGACGTCGACTGATGAGTAAACGGGATGATTCGCCTTGGGCCCCCTCGTTCTCCTGACCTGACGGTGTGCAATTTTTCTCTTTGGGACAGCTGGAGCTACTAATTGAGGCATCAGTTTTGGAATGTGCCACATGATCAACAACTAAATAATTTTAGAGAGCTTCGTGAGGCAATTGTAACAGCATATCTGATATCGCAACCTGGATCTCCAGATGATCCGAAATTCCTTCGACTGTATGCCCACATGGGCACGAAATTGCATTTCTTGTTGGAGGACATGCATATCCTAATGAATAGCATTTTTATTTTCGACTGCAGTGTTGTCTACGCACAGGTTATTGTGGTATTAACATTTTTAAATAGGCCGTTCTCTGCTAATTTTCGCCAATCCCAGAAAAGTTAACTAAAATTTAAACGCAGTTATCTCAGTCAGGTATAATAAATCTACAAAATTCACATTCGAAATATCCATCTACAAATCTCCTTCAGTAATGGACCATTTCACATTTGCATTATAGACTAAATCTTGATCTAGACAAAAATTTCATCACAGCTTGAAAGAGCATCACAAAATTAGTAATATTCCAAAGTTTCGTTGCGAATTGTTGTAAAATGCGGATAATATAGCCTTGCGAAGTTTGCCGTTTTTCAGTCATTTTGTATTAAGGCGGATTTCTAGTCCTCGCACGAAGCTCCTCGCAGCTCGCTGCGAGTGCATGCATGAGCACTTTCATCCAATCACAATGCTAAACAGTTAATTTTAATTAGATACAAGCACTCGCAGCGAGCTGCGAGGAGCTTCGTGCGAGGACTGGAAAACCGCCTTTACGCACGGGAAATTGACAAGCCCAATCGGGTGTTGGGACATCAATTTCCCGTTCGTAATACAAAATGACTGAAAATTGCAAATTCCGCAAGGCTATATTATCCGTATTTTACAACATTTCGCAACGAGACTTTGGAATATTACTAATTTTGTGATGCTCTTTCAAGATGTGATGAAATTTTTGTCTAGATCAAAATTTAGTCTATAATGCAAATGGTCCATTAATGATGTCGAGTGAGAAAGTCCTGGTATTTACCCATACACCGCATACATTGGCATCACCTAAGTATTTAAATATACATGAACTTGTGTAGCTCAGTTGGTTACAGCGCTGCACCGGGATCAGGATTGTAAGTTGGGTATTACGGCTGGGAGGATGTGAGCTTGTTTTTCTCGACCAAAAGGGTACCGGAATTCGAAGTCGTGCCGGATGGACATTTCAGTCACTAATTACCATTTCTTCTCCCAAAATTGTTGGCGAGCGAGGGGATGGGGGGGGTTGGGGGCGAAAAAAAATTTTTCGAACTAACCATTCTTCACTAAATTGTATTTTTTCAGTAATATTTTCGTAAGCTATATCAAATTCGTTCCTACAATCATTACTTTTCAAAAAATTATGTAACATTTTTTGCTGAATTTCATATTTTTTTGCCCAACGAGCATGTCGTGAAAAATGCTAACGTTGTCCGACAAAACTGAAAAATTACAACATATG